ACTTGCAAGCAGAAAACCTTATTACTTTGTTTTAATGTCTAGAACACCGAAGTTGAATATATTCGTGGATTTGTAAGCTCACTTTGACTTCATTATTAGTGTAGACACGTAGATTGTAAACGGTGGCCGTGTACGTTTGGCTACAAAATGGCTACCGTAACTTTGAAAACAGAGATTTCGATCTCTTGAGCGATATATTGTGCTGTGCACGTATGTTTAAATATGAATTCATGTTTCAAAGACGAATTAAAACTTTTTACAACAGAAGTTGCATTATTTGAACATAATTGATTGTCTTATAAAACTTTTAGTTATAGGAGTTAGATAGACAATATATGTATATAGGTATTAGACAACTTATGTTTAGACTAATAAATGCTATATATTCAATTATTTTTGTAATATATTGTCATTTACTTCCGTGTTGATTAAATATATTTTGTCAGGATTAAGATGCTGTTTTTTAACTGGAATACCTTTAAAAATGTTTTATTTCCTCCATCACTCAAGCGATTTGCGGGCATAAAAAGAAGATAAATGACATTGTACGTTTATATTATAATATAAAAGGTTAATTATGAGATCATTTTCCTAAAAAAAGATCTGATATATAAAAACAGACTGATAGAGATTTGCGAAACATTTCATAGACACATTTAAATGAAAACATTTGAGTTTCAGAATCATGTATAAACAAGTACATTGATATTGCTTCGTAATAGTATTTTTTTTGCAAATAAAAACGGCGGTTTAAATTATCTCAAAAGTAAAATGAAATTAACAGGGGAATACGGTATAGAATTTCGATGTATGATTGTATTTTATAAAACACAATTATGACAAATAAAACGCGAATTCAACATTCTCCTCTTCTTGGAAGTCACTTTAAAATTAAATCTATATTTTTTATACTACTATGGTGGCAAATAAACATAAGGTACGTTCGATGGTAAGCGAGGTTACCGTAACCTATGGACATCTGTAACCCCACGAATGTTACGTGCGCGTTGTCGAACCGTAAGAAACCTTATTACGTATTTTTGGAAGAATCTCATTCTGTAGTCTCCAGGTTAGTCTAGTAGCATGTTGTACCCTTTATTTAACTACAAATTTAAAATTTTCTGAGCTGTAAATTTGTTGTGAATAAATTCATGTTCACGTTCTCGTTCAATTTTATCATAACTGTGTGGGATGATTATTTCTGGTTCGGAGTGAATTTTTAAGTACAATTATAACTAAGTTCTAGTAATAAAGTTTTATGGTTTTCCATTAACGTGAAACAATGTTGGATATTGGACAATTTAATTAATTTTACCGGCCGCGACGAATTCATCGAAACGCGTATTTGCATATATGTTTAAAATTGTCGGCCATTTTTCAGAATAGAATTTTGCTTAAATTCTTTTGTTAACTATTTTCATAGTTAAAAACTAGGTATCTGTCATAAACAACTGATAAGCTCTCTAATAATAAATGCAACATAATTGTAAAATAGACTTTAAAATAAAATGTTAAACAGATTAATTATAAGAAACCACTCATATTGACCAGGAATCGTGATTTGTTATGAGAGATTCAAATTTGATATGGTATCATGTATTATCTAGCCAGAAATATGCATAATCATAACCAGATCTAATTATACTAATAGTGCTAGAGATTGTTGGGATTTGGTGGAGTTTAGAATTCTTCTTTATACATTAGAATACTAGAAGACTATGAGAGTAGTATAGTAGTATAATGCTAGAGATTGTTGGGATTTGGTGGAGTTTGAAATTCTACTTTATACATTAAAATACTAAAAGTCTGTGGAAGTAGTGCAAATGTGTTTTAATTTATAAATTTTAATCAATTTATATATATTTTTTTTAAAAACATATTTAGGGTTGATACAAAAACGTTGGCAGTAACATTATTATGTAGCATTACTTATTTTTATGTGACCTAAGATAATGTTGCAATAACATGTTAAAAACTTTTAATTCTTGTACAATTAAAAATGCAGATGAAGGGAACCCGTTCAACAATTATCTGATACGTTTAATTAAAGAGGAACGTTAAGTCGGGTGACGGTTCCATTAGCTTTTATTTTAAATATTAATAAGATATGACGCAATTATCTTTTAATCTCCGTCCTGTATTCGAGATCCTTTCAAAATGTAAATTGTATGACCTAGTAACGTTCTCACATTTGTCAGCTACAATTTCTGTATCTGGGTTTTTTTTTTGTTCTATAACATTTGTAATAATTAAATAAATAAAAATCTGTGCTTTCTTAATATTATTAGAAAAAAACTAATAATATTAGAAAAAACACTTGTACTCTTTCACAAAGAAAAGATGTTACACTAAATACCTGACCGTGGCGCCGTTTAAGGCACTTTATTTTTTTTTTTTGCTTTATATCTAATTGTTTAAATTGGATGATAAATGTAAAATTTTTAACTTGACTCTGGTAGTCGATTTAGAATAACTCATATCAGTCCTTAAATGTCTACTGTTGAACATAAGCTTTCCCCGTAAGAGAAGTTTTGCTAGTAGTTGCCACACTTGGCAGGCGAGTCGACAACCGCAGATAGGCTTTTAGAAATGTTTTGAAAGGGATGCTGCTGCCCATCCTTCTAGCATTAACTTTCCTTGGTTGTCTCCGCTAAAGGAAGGGGTGGCCTATTCTATACTGGAACCACACGGCTAATAAAATTGTTTAAATCGGATTATAAATATATTTCTTTTTACTCGACTGTGTGTAGTCGATTTAGAATAATTAATAATGAAAGAAAAAGGCATTTGGTACAAAACTATTCAGGCTGAACCACCACATATTCCTTGGTTTTGTGGAATTAAAATCAATAGGTACTGTATTAAATTAGCTGTTCGTTTACGTTCTGGTCATTATCCATCAAAAAAATTTGAACATATGATGGGAAAGTCCTTGTCACCCCATTGTCAAACTTGTAGTACCATCGATGATGTGCATCATATTCTATTAGAGTGTCGAACACGAAGGAAAGAGAAGAATTCATGCGCCACTTTAACTAAATAAATTGAATGTTATTCAAACTATGTTAGAACTTAAACCAGAAATTTTTGAACATCTTTTTTTTTTTTCTTCTCTTTCCGCGTCTAGATCGACTGTGTGTAGAAATCAGATTTGATATACCTGAAGAAGGTAATTAATAAAAAAAAAAAAAAAAAAAAATGTCTAATTGATAATTTAGATAATTATATATGACTAAAGTTTTTATAATTATATATATGGATATTTAAATAAAGTTCTCGATAATGGTAAATAAAAATCTATATCATTTTTATAAAAGGAAATTATACATATTATTTTAACTCTATAAGTGACAGTTGTATGATTAATTAATATTCTATTACGTGCTCTATCTATATTTGTCAGACTAATTAATATTCGCCTTTAACATTGCTATATTTTTATTCATAAAACAGTTTGACTAACATCAAAACATGTTTCTGAATTTTACCAACAATATTACTGTGATATGTGAATACGTGCTTTAAATTTAGAACAACGATCGAATTTGACGCAACAAAAATTTTTTTTAAAATCTATTCAAAGCGGCCTGCCTCGCCTATTAGCATTATCTTGAATAGTCGGTATTGTGCGAACTGTGAATGACCTCTTCAGCATAATAATGGTCGAAGGGATGCGCAGGAGCGCGTGCGGAGGGGCGACCGGTTTGAAATTAGAACGTTTTTTATTCGGCGCGGCGCTTTGTCGGCGCCCGCCCGGTGCGTATGCGCTAACTCGACAAATGCGGCAATGAAATAAGCTGTATTTTATTTCGTTTTCTACTCAATGGACTTTTGAGTTTTAAGTTGTGGGGGTGAGTTTGTAAAACATTAACCATAGGTAAAGTAATATGATCTTTTGGTATAGGGTAAAATTAACAAATATAATACAACATTGTAATTAAAAAGTAATTGTATTCCCACAAAATTGAAATCAGTGTACCATTAAATATTATTATTCTATTAGTAAATAATGTAAATAAATTTTTACATGCATTATATACTAAAATTATTTTAACACTTATTACATTATTAAAAGGTCATTTTATCTTAGAATTTAATAAAAAAAGACTTATGCTAAAGTTGCAAAGAGCAACATCAATGTTATCTTATGTATATATAATTACAGAATATTGGTATAAAGATTCACATACGTAACAAGAATGTTCTCTTAAATATATTAATTTTCACGTATTACATTATTTTTATTGATTTTGTTTTTTTTTTATACAACTTAGAATGGCAAACAAGCTGACGGCCCACCTGATGGAAAGTGGTCACCGTCGCGTATAGACATGAGCAGTACCATGGACATAACAGAGTATACTGTTTCACCCATGATACCAAAAAAACATACAGATGTTTATTATAATAAAATAATAAATATTGTAAATATGTAATTATTTAATAATATATTGATTTTTTTAATAATTTGACTCCATTGTTATTTGTAAATATTTAGCAGTATTGCATTTATCAAGTTAAATATTATACGTTACACGAATTTGCTCTTTAAATGCATTTGCAGGACGTGGAAAGGTGATCGTGTGACATTTGCTTAAAGGCTTACGAGTTTACATATTCGTATTGTTTTAGTTTACTTATATAACGCTGATCATACACAAAAAACTAAAAAATAATTAATTAGCCATTTTAAGAACAGTATCAAAATATGTTTCAATTGTTCAAGACAGAGTCTTTTATTTTCGCAAGAAAATTTTATCATAATTCTTGGGTTACACATTGTAATGTTTAAGACTATTTGTGTAAAATAGTCAATTATTAACCAGTGCATAAAACTTTTATATAGATACGGTCAGTGGACAATAATATTGAAAAGGTTTGCTTAGACAAAATTTATTATTTCCTGTTTGTATAGTATACACATAAAGTGTACCTCTATATGCATCAATAGTCTATGGTGTACCAAACCAGAAGACCAGCGGGTAAAGCGCCTTTGTATCCCCCCATTAGGAGAGAGTAAACAGATCAGGGAGGGAGGCGCGATAGTACGACGCAAGGCACCAAACCGGTTGGACGTGTGGAACGCTGATAGCGTATTGTCGAATGCGATGCCGCGTTTGTTTACCGAACTTTTCAAATTTGAATTTCGAATTGAATGACATTTTTTTTTAATGTATGGCGATCACGTAGGGAACGGAAGAGTAAAATGTTATGCCATAGTGAAATAGTAAACATGTAAATTGTCGACAGTGTAAGAATTGAGCTTAATTCAGTGGCAGTATGGTGGATGTTGGTGTCAATGAGTGTGATAACACCATAAATGGGCGGAACCAATTTGTGTTTCTTATATTTGTGCATTTGTTACTTATTGGACTGAATGGGACAAATGGTAAATATTTATTATTTTTAAGCACTAGACAATTATTAAAAGACAATTATTATAATTGTCTTCATATTTAGCTACATATTTTAAAGTTTTATAGAACCTTATAATATATAAGCAATTAATATTCAAATAAATTACCAAATTTATATACTACCCTCTATTTAGATAGGTGCTTCGACACCACAGGAAATTAAACTATTATAGTTCTTTATTTTTTCGTTTTATTTTAACGAATAGTAGAGCTGGTAGAGCACCGTTTTTTTTATCAGATCGGTACCATACCGAGTAATTAAAGTAGCATGGGGCCAATTAACAAAATGTTTCGTAGCCTGGTAGCCGTAGCCGTTTCGGTAATGAAACAATGGATTCTTTTTTGTTACTTAATTGAAGTTAACGGGTAATCGGTATTGGAGAACGCAATTAGAGTTTGTTATGTAACTTCATTTTAAAAGTCGAATGTTTTTATTAATAGAGTAAAAATCAATTATTCTTAAAATTGGAATGTGCCTGAATCTATTTGTACCTACTAACAAAAATATTTTATGGGTTCAGTGCTTGTGAATTTAGATGTGTTACTGATCTTTTTTGAATCTACTTATTTCTGGAAATATCGGAACTTTCTTGATTGAAATATTAAATGATTAAATTCAAGCAATTTTGTATTTTTGATAAGCATAGATTTGATAAATTATCTATTTATGAAATTATTTATCCTTACTGTATTTTGATCATTTATAATGTAATTTTTCCCATTAATTGTTACCTTTTGATGCTTTAACAGCTCAGCCGATAATATTTCGTATGGAGAAGGGCAAACGCTACTTATTATTCAGTTAAATGGATAAAAAACAAAACGTTTTATTTTCTCAATAAAAGTAAAGAAAAATGAAAGTTTGAATTTTTTAACAATATTTGAGATATCCTTATCGTATCTTATCGTATGGTATATCGTATATTAGAAAGATAAGTGTGTTTCGCTTACACACTAGGGGTGAATAAACTTTTGGGGATGAAATGTAGTCAATGTTAACTACTCCAACTCTAATCGACGCCAAAAATTTGGTATATCAAATAAAAAATTTAGAATTATTCTCTGGTAAGCGAAAATATCGATAACAAACTGATTTGAGTATTTGAAGGAGTAGGCTCGCCCCTGCCATATTGGATGCTTGATGAATTGTCCACTGGATGGCATGTCAAGTCTTATAATTACCACAACACAACAGACATCAAAAACTTCTAACTTCTACATAAAGTCATAAGTATATTTATTTTATTTTTTATTTTTACCTAAATGATTTTTTATTTTTAAATCAATATAAACGTGAAAATGGGTTTGTTAATCATTGTAATCTTTAGTCCTCATATTATTTCGTACATAGAAGGTTATAGGCTACTGTTTTTCTTTGTCAATCAATCAATGTCCTATACGTAATCGCGGCTTAGTTAGTCTTAATATACCCATATAAAAATTCCATGTTATAATGTTCGTTCACATTAATGCACAAAATCGCTTAACCTGTTTTGATGAAATTTTGTAAACGGGCATTATTTGCTTCAACTTAAGATATAGGATAGTAAAATTTTGAGAGATGGAATATTTTATTAATCCGAGTCTTCTTTACCATCATACGAAGGTAAGTTGGGGTTTTCGGGGCGGACTCATTTTGCTCTAGTATCACCTCCGGGAGCAATTATCCCCGAGCCATTCGTTCAGAGCTCTCATAGAACAATTTTATCCCAATAAGCAAAATAGAGCAAAACAATATATGCCAATGACTGCTAGTATATTTATAAACTTATGTCTAAGGACCAGGTAGAGATTATATAATGCATTATATATACATATATACATCTTAACATTCGTCACTCATGCGTAATTAATATAGGAATACGGCATTTAGTATCTCTTTACAACATGCCTAATTTTATATAAAATCGAATCGGAATCAATTAGTAATTATTTCACTTTCTTACTAATTTTGAAAGTTACATAAACTTAGAATTAATGTCATTCAATAATAATTGAGTATTAGCCGTGTGGACCCGGCATAGAATAGCCTCCCCCCCCTCCTTTTCCGTGGGTGTCGTAAGAGCCGACTAAGAGAGAACAAGGGATGGAAAACAGCGTCGCTCTTAAAACATGTCTAAAGCCCTGACTGCGATTACCAATCCGCCTGCCAAGCGTGGCAAATACTGGCAAAATCCCCCACGGGGGACGTTTATGTTCAGCAATGGACAGTTAAAGGCTGATATAATAATAATAATAATAAATTATGTAAACTACGACATTTTGTATTAATTTTTTGTATAACATTTTTTCAGAATGAGAATCGCTTTTATCTTACTGTGTGTAAAAGTTTATGTTGATGTTTGGTTGTTTATTATTCATTCTCGCTTTAATGGTTGGGCAAATTTGAATAATGTTTGTTACACAGAAAGGCTATTTATAATTTTAGAATAATCACCGAATTCGTTTAAGAAGTGGCGATAACATCGTGTACCATATATTATAATTGAGTAATCCATAATCGCCTTTTTTAAAAGTCAAAGGAAAATAGAATAACACATAAATTTTAAAAATTTTTGGTTCTGAATTAAAACATACACGGCCAGATTTTATATTAACTTTTCGAGAATACAACTATGAAATTCGCATCCAGTTTAGTGCAATAGTTTTTTTTTTGGTAATACAACAGAACAAACATACAGACAAAAACAAAAAAAAATCTAAAAATTGTTGTTTTGGTTTTTATTGCTATTATAAAAACCTTTTTTTAACATTTTTTTTTTAAATATCTGTTGTGCGGAAGCTTTGTCTAGTGTTATAACATATATGAATCTATTTAGATTATATACATATTTATACATAGTATGAAATCTTAGATTGCTGCCTTGTTTTTTTATCAGTATCTATTTTATATATTTACATATAAAATGTATCTTGACGTATTATTTAATAAATAAAATGAGTGTTTACGCATTAAAAGTATTATATTTATTTATAGTATATGTATTTATATAATATTTCATTATATATTTTAATATTTTATTTAACTGTATATTTGTTTATGTATTCTAAATAGTACAATTATTAATATTTAGAATTTCAGGGCACTTCAGCTGCCCTTTAACAACATGCTTTCTAACTGCATTGGGTTGATTGGAAAAGATCTTTGACAGAGATAAGTCCACCCTTGCTCACAATATTTATAAATGCATTAACAATGTATTTTACAAGTGCAATAAAGAATATATATAAAAAAAATGCAAAATTTATAAGATAAAATAAATATAGAAGTTATAAAGGAATCACTCATAACTATTTATCGAAGTTATTTATTCCGTTTTTCTCGAAGTATTTCTGTGGAGACATTATCTATATAATCTAAGTATGAAATATATCTATCTAAGTAGATATATTATTTATACCCTGGTTTATTACTTTTTGCGGCTTAACCGATTAATTGTTTTTATTAGCATCGTAACCTTTTATTGGGTGGCATGCAATAACAATTTAAATGAATTTGTAGCGTTCATGGTTACTTGGTCTCATTAGAAGCCGTAGATTAAGTGGTTAAGCAATGTTGAGTGAGGTAATCTCTTGGATGATATTGAGTGATATATCAAAAACAATTTACATTAATTTATATTATACGAGATGTTTCTTGCGAATTTGTTTACGAATATAAATTATTCCATATGTGAAGTTAAAATTTAAACTATCCAGGTACTAAATTTAATTTAAATCCTCAAAAACTTTTGGGTTTATAATAAGTAAACAGGATTATTCACCATGTGTTCCCGGAATAGAATGGGCTACTTTTTACTTTTTCGTGAGTATCTTAAGAGACGAATAAGGGAATCTAAGGAAGATAGAATAAGGAGGTATGGGCAGCAGCGTTTCTCTTAAAACATCATCAACGCCTAACTGCGGTGGCCAACCCGCCTGCCAAATTTAGCAACTATTGGCAAAACCCCCCAATAGGGGAGACCTATGTTCAGCAGTGGACAGCTAATGGCTAATACCACAACAAGAAAAGGTAAATTTACTTTTAAAAGAGATTTCTTGTTAAACTAACACAGTGACATAAGAAGTAATTTGTTAGCAATAGTAATTAAAGAGAGATTTAATATATAGATATAATATATAGATAGAATAATGGGAAAATAACAATATCTAACTGTAAATTTAACGAATTTGATAATAAAAAAACATTATACTCATATCTATAAAAATAAAAATATAAATACATATGCAAAATATAAATAAAACAGTAAAATTTACTCTATATATATATTTTTACAGTACAACATTTTAGGCCGCCCATACCGGAAATTCTGTAATTTTTCGTATAAATCAAATGTACAGAATCAATTTATTCACCCCGCCCATTGCACCCACACGTGCAATACAAAAAGACAAACAAGTCGAGATAGCTATATTGTATCGGGTTATCAGTGACAGTGACAAGTATTAATAAAGGACAACTACTGCCGATGCGCCCGCGCCTCAATAGCTTTATGGCGGGTATAAAAATAATAAAAATGATATATCAAAATTATTACAATACTCCGTGTGACATTTTATCTGGGTGTTTATCTAAATGCAGCTACGGAACCAGTGTTATTGAGATATTTGTTGGTAGATATTCGATTTACACGATACGTTAAAAAGCACTTCTAATCTTGAGTAGGCGTCAAACGCTGGACGTGTATTTTAACAGGATTATTAAACACACTAAAATATCCGTGTCATTGTAAATTATGGAAGGTTTTTGTTGTGATTTTATACTTGGTGTGGCTATTGTGTAGTTTTGAAATTTTAGCCATAAATTTGTGGTGGTTATTTCGTTTGATTTATGGTATTTATGTTATAGTATTACAACATTCGTATAAGATTCCAGGTCATCATGAGATTGGCTTCATGATACTTATTTAAATAACATATGGGTTATTTATCTTTTAAGTTGAAACACCTATCTTATTATTACATTGTTTGTATAAAGTTACAAAGGTATAGATTAATCGATTACTAGAATGTGCTTGTAAAATGGAATAAATCTGGAAAGAGGTTAGATTACTTCATTGTATCCCACTCATAATATATTTATAGAAAATAAGTCTGTTGTAAATTATTTATCATTGTAACATTTTTCTCTTTCATTATTAAATGATCGTATCTAATAAGAGTCGTGATGTCACCTACAATTATGTAATTACCTAAGTAATAAGGTTTTATATTCTGAATATTACTAGCTTTTACATGTGACGTCGTTCGCGTGACCGATTTATGTTTACTGACTGGGATAGAAAGCAGTCTATATCCTTCCCCACTTCATATATTACACATATACCAAATGTCATAGCCACTGGTCATGCCATTAAGATGCTATAAGGTAACAAACAAACTCACTTTCACATTTTTAATCTATATACGAGTATTAATACGTGATGCAAAAACTTTGTTCCCATTTCTTCGAAAATTGTACGGACGGAGGAGTACAAAATTTCACACACTTACAGTTTATATAGAGAAGGAGTGCACAATGTTAATACATTTTTTTTAATCATGCATAAAAATACATTAAAGCAATAAAAAAAATTACACACAATACCATGTATTTGACACACACAGGCATATATACTCTTTTGTTTATTGTTAAAGTCTGTGGTCAAATAGAGAACACATTAATATTGTTTGTCTTTAATATTATTTGTCTACAGTCTTACTGAATGTCAAAGATAACCATAATGTCATAATAAAATCATTTATTACAATATTTATTATGGTCCAATTTTGACCTTTGAGTAACCAATAGTATTAATAAATATTTAACTATAATTTTTTTGTACATGCAAAGTAGGACTCTGTTTATAAAATCAATTTAAAACCAATCTTTGTAGAGAAGAAAAGGAAAATTGTTGTTGCTTGTTTTGCGATTATCATTAAGGAAAGAGGGCTTCTTGATACTAATGGATTAGTAGTTTTTGTGTAGACAGATAATATTTATTATTCTTTTAAAAATAATGGCAGTATGAGTCGAAGTATAAATGTAGGTATACTTAATAAAAAAAATTAAACTATAAATGTGGATTCTATTCTTAATATAGAGTCTCTCTGTCTCTTTCTTTCTCTCTCTCTCTCCCTCACTCACTCTGTTAAATGCGCCTATCTAATTATAATAATCATTATCATTATAGTTTACGATATAAAATACTATACTTTTAAAAATGTAGTGGCCATTTCCATATATTATTTTTTTAGTTATAACTGGTATATATTTATTAGTATTTATGATAATTAATTAATTTGACATTAATAATCAAAATATACAACATTAATTAAAGAATCGTTTTGACATCAAAACAAGGTCATTATGTAATGCAATAACAAATATTTTTATTAAGTAACAAGATATAGTTCGTAAAATTCGTGAAGATTAATAAAGTTTTTATTATTAAGAAATATAATAAATGGATACTAAATATTAGTAAATATGGATGACGTAGGTATCTACTTACACAAAATATAGACAATATCTCAAAACCAAGACTATCACTCGTAATTATTATGTTATGAAATTCCTTTTATATTTCTTTTTTATTTAAGTGCTCTTAGCAAAGTGAAAAATTAAAAAGGTAAACGAGATCGTATAAGCTGTATACTTTATTGCTGCTACTCGACATGGGTCATATAATTTTTTTTTATTTCGTACGTGATATGGGTACGCCATAGAACATTGGCTGATGAATTTTAACACGCACAAGTAAAGTGAAGTAATAACTTTGATTTACATATATACATATTCCGAGTTATTTCCTAATGCCATTTGTCGGGTGTGAAGATATTTTCTATCGTTTATTTTGATATGAAGCTATTATATAGGGTTGAAAAACTTTAAATTTAATACAAAATATTAGAAAATTTGTCGGTTATCGAATTTTTAATTGTTATATCTCCAAGCATGTCTTGGTTTGTGAGAAAACAAAAAAAAAAAAATTCTTAGAGCAGAGAGAATTCACAAGAGTAAGATAGGTACTTTGCATAAGCGAGGCTTCGGAATCGATTCCCAATCATGCCAGTTTAGATAAATGTATTCTTATCTTAAATATTAAGATCCAGTCAGATGTAGATGCATAGAAAGATTCTGGAAATTTGATCGGGTTCATCGTAAAATAGGATAGAATATTACACTATGAGAAACTAGAGAACTAACTGTTGTTTGTTGAAAGTAGACAACGACTGTAACAGTAATAATGTAACAGTGCAACCCTGTATTTGTTAATAAAGGTTTATTATTATTATTATTAATTGGATTTTTTTATATTAGTCGTTAACTGTCCATTGCTGAACATAGGCCTTCTCCATAAGGTGGGTTTTGCCAGTAGTTGCCACGCTTGACAGGCGGCTTGGCAACTGCAGTTAGGCTTTGGTAATGTTTTAAGAGAGATGCTGCTGCTCATCCTTTGCCCTCCCTTAGTCGCCTCTCACACCCTCGGGAAAGGAAGGGGTGACCTATTCTATACCGGGACCTAGACGGCAAGGACATGGAATGTGAATGTGAATGTGAATGTGAAAGGGACTCCATTTTCCGCACTTAGCCTCTCATTTGGGCCATTGTGCGTATGAGTCGTGGCTAGTGCAGCCAACCTAGCTCCGTCCAGAAGCGCAGAAGCTTCCTGGGTTCTTCACAGGCCTCACGGAGCGACCTCACCGTTCCGAGGATTTCTAAACGTTGATGGGCCACAGCCTCACATTCCAGGATTACGTGAGCTGCCGTTTCTTCGGCGTTGAAACAGCCTCGACATAGAGGGCTGTCTGTGGCTCCTATTGTGTATAGATGGATTAAAATAGATTAAAGAACTACTCCTTGTCATCCCCAGGATATCATAAGAGATGACTAAGGGAAAAATAAAATATAAAAAGTTCCGCTGTTACTCGTATATTGTATTCAAATGCAGTGAGAATAAAAAAATATAGAAAAATAATTTAGAAATCAAAACTTTGAGAGTAAAATACAAAACTATAGAGTAAAATCGAAGTTACCTTACATAGTGCGTTCAAATGTTAAACCTATGTGTATGGACTATGAAGACTCAATATTTTTTGTCGTTTTTAAAAACATATTTTTTTAGGAACATGTTTAGATTTACTGAACACATATTGAACACTCTCTTTAAAGAATATTAATAATTTAGATTTCACCTAAGTAGGTATTTTTATAAGAATCATGTTCATTTATTATTAATATCATTTATCTGTAGCACAAAACCGAGCGCCTCGCATCAAAGAACACCCATCAAACACAGTATCGGGACGCAGCGAACCCGCTACCCTGAGATGTGTTGTGGAAGGTCGTCCAAAGCCTATAGTACAGTGGTACAAGGATGGGCTACCACTACCGCCGGCTGAAGACGGTCATAGGGTATTATTGGAAGATGGTCTGTTGTTTCTGAGGTAGGTATATATTATTTCTTTTTAATGAGCACCATTTAACCAGTTTAATTTTAAAATTAAAAGTACAAGTTGTAATATAATATGTTAGCATTGTTTAATAACTACTAGATATAAATAATAGTTGAAGTTAAAATACTTGAATTGAAGTAGTTTAATTAAAAATTGTATAAAAAACTTTATGTTTTTTCTAGTTAGAAATATTAAAGTTAATTTATTCAAGTAATATCATAAATATGATCAAATTAATATTATTTTCTATACAATACAGAATAAATAGGGGAAAAAAAGAGGGCGATGAAGGAATATATTGGTGCATGGCACGGAATATTGCTGGTGAAGCCATAAGTCATAACGCCTCGCTAAACGTTGCCGGTGAGTTTTTTATTGCTTTCTTTATTAAAGACTCAAACATGTTATTGAACAATTCAAAGTTTTTTACAGACAAACTTTTGAAAAGATTCTCAATACAAGTGAATTTTTTTATTGTAAGTTACGCAGTATATATGATATATACTGCATAACTTACAATATATAACTACTTACTTATTAAATAATATAACGTACTTACCGATGTTATATGTTCCTTTAAGTTTTTTATGTATTACCATTACATTTATATGTAAATATGTACTGTTGCGTACATTTGGTATTTACCAAATTTCTGCTTACTGATTCTAATGAGAATCATAATGAATATATACATTTTATTTGGTTTGGTTATTTTTTTTGTATTTACTGTGTACATCTTGCGCCACCTACCTTCTATCTTTACTTACTTACTCTATCCCAGGTCATAAGATATTGCTTTTAGCGATAATGCTGTCTTTTATATTTGCATATTCTGTATCAATATTCTTTGTATACTGTTCTTTTGTCTATAATAAAGAGTTTATTATTATTAATATTTAAGATAGGCACATATTAACCATATGCACAATAATGCTAGTTTATGCAACATCTTGATGTAAACCGCAACACTACTGCTGTGAAATTGGTAAAAAATGATTCTTATTACGAGTATTATTATGTGCAAATTAAAATAGTACATGTAGGTATATTAAAAATTTCATTTAAATATGTTGAACCATTTATCGCGATTAAGTAACAAATACTTAATCGATTACAAAATCCAATTTATGGGATATAATAAGTACTAGCGAATTTAGATTATATTAATTTGCAGTACTTCGAGATGACTTCAGAGCTGAACCCAGTAATTCAATAGTGGCTGCAGGTGAACCTGCTATATTGGAATGTTCACCTCCTCGAGGTATTCCAGAACCTTCAGTGTATTGGGTTAAAAATAACCAGATATATGACGTTGAAGCTTAATGGCAGGTACAACATTGATTTTTTTATATGTATTTAATAAAAAAATATTGACAATAAATACCTAATAGAGATCAGAAATATAATATGAAATTAATGTAATATAAATATTATTTTTATTTTTAGGGTAACAGTAACAGATACAGGAAATTTGAAAATTCTTGAAACTTTACCTTCTGATAATGGAGTATATAGATGTGTTGCTACAAATATTGCAGGAGAAAGACAATCTAGAATAGCAGGATTGATTGTTTTAAAACGTCCTCACTTCATTGTTAAACCTAATAATATCACGACATTGGTAGGACAAACTGTGGAATTTAATTGCCAGGTATTTAATGATTATTTCTTTAACACTCATAAAGGATATAACAAATTGTATAGCACCTACATGTATAGTATGTTTATTTTAGAGTTACGATTCAAATGTAAAAATAACATGGGTCAAAGAAGACGGGTCGCTGCCTTCCCATGCATCAATAATACGAGGCCTATTACGGCTGGAGCACGTGTCTGCGAGCGATGCGGGCGTGTATTCCTGCCGGGCCGATAGCAATGCCGGCAGTAGTATCACTAGCGCCACACTAACCGTTAACTGTAAGCACTGCCTCTATTTTGATCCATTTTATTGCATCAATAAGTCTATTGCGGTCCTGATTTATTTTAATATGGCCATCTGTTTCAGCATTACCGCACTTCACGCAGATACCATCTAATCTAACCGCATGGGAGGGTGATGTGGTATCAATTCCATGTGAAGCTAGAGGTTTACCTACGCCTACAACTTTTTGGATATTAGAAGGAAATCAGGACTCTTTGCTCTTCCCAGAATGTACGAAAAGTAATACAAGTTTATTATATCTAGATGGAGCTAAACCAGAACACAGTGGAAGAGTGATTTGTACAGCAGTCAATGCTGCAGGAAGTATTATGCAAGAGGCTTATCTTACTGTTTTGAAAAAGAATAACAATGATTTAAAGGAATCATCTTTGGACCAAGATTCGAGTATAATTTATGATAATGAAGCGCGCATGACGCAATATGAGCTTGTTCAATCGAGAAAGTATTTGCAACAAAATGTTTTAGTTATGAGGAGAGTAGAAGCGTTATCGTCTACTTCGCTGAAAGTTGTCTGGGATGTAAGTATTTTGACATGTTTTGCTACATTTATTGGTGCCTGTATTGAATTTAATATCTAGTATTATACTAGTATTTTTATTTTAATCTTTTATTTTAACAGGTGTTAACTGATTACAATGAATATTTAGAAGGTGTCAAAATTTGGTACAATGGAACTACATTAAACTGGAAAAATGTAACTAATGAAGAAGTCGCAATTTTAAATTCGTCTCACTCAGGAGCCATAGTTTGTTCTAATGGTTCTCTAACAAATGTTGATAATAGTGGATCATCTAGTTATATTTTATCTGGATTGATGGCGTACACTCAGTACGATATATTTTTAATGCCGTTCTACAAAATGTTGCTTGGAAAGCCTTCTAATTTAATGACAGGATATACCGACGGGGATGGTAAGGGATTTTACCTTTTAATATTAATTTCGGGGTTGTATTATAGGGTATTTAATATTGATGATTATTTTAGTACCATCCGCACCTCCCCAAAGTGTGACAGCAGGCGTAATTAACGCAACTTCGGCATGGATACGTTGGGAACCGCCACCTGCGAATACATGGAATGGGGAACTTACTGGGTACTTGGTGAGTGTTTTCCTTCTAATTATTGTTACATACTCTGTTTTCGTAAAATTTAAGTGTCGGATTGCTATCTTGAAGTTAATTATGTTATTAAGCCACTACTTAATATTAAACCACTATTTAATAAGATACAGCGAGGCTAATAATCCCTAGTCAATAATTTGCCATTGAATAATCAAGTCGCTTAAATCTGATAAATTATTTTGTTCACAGTTATAGACTTGTGACTCTATTAATAAAAAATCTTTCAATCCGCTTATTTTAGTGCAAATACATTGAGAGGTATGCCTTATAATTAGTCAATGGTCTTTGACAATTAACTTCCGTGGTATGAAGTAGATGGCTTTAAATATAATTCTAAATGCTAATGTGCTCTAGTTCTATGGCTATCTGCCAGGTTTCTTGGCAAGCCTATAGATAGCCTGTAGCTACAGATTTTAATTTAAATACTATATATTCTTATAATGAACAAATGTTGTAGAAATAATGAGTAATTTATAAGTTTTTTTTTATACAACTTAGAATGGCAAATAAGCTGACGGCCCACCTGATAGAAAGTGATAACCATGGACATGGACATATAAGATATATACTAATAAGTTATAACTAATAATGTATATCCTAAGGAATTTACTGTCGTTAGGAGGAAGCAATAAAGCGCCTATAAACATGATGGTTGACGCGAGTTAATCTATTTCTAGATCGAGATCCGAGTGAGTGGCAGTACTGGTGGTCGGGTGGTAGGCCAAATGTCGTTGGGACCACGTACTCGAGCCGCTGCAGCTAGTTCCCTTCGATCTGGTGGACGTTATACCGCTAGAGCTGCTGCTGTGACCAGCAAGGGTCACGGTCCCTTCAGTGCACCTGCACAGATTCATATGCTGCCAACGCAGTCACAGAGACATTATGTGCAGTAAGTTCCTTTCATACTATTATCTATAAATGCAAACAGTTTGGTAGTTAAAATTAAGATTTATATATTATTTTTAAGATATTTATAAAAATGTAACTATTTCTAATGTTCATTCGTTAATAATTGACTTATAATCTATAGATATTATACCTTATAATAACCATTTTGATTGGCAATTAAATAGTTACTATGAATCTATGTAATTATCATAGGCAATTAGTACTGATCAAAATACATAATTCATTCATATAGGTTAATACATCCTGTGTAAACTTTATTAGTTTATTATTAGTTGACAGTGTAGTTAGTTGTTAAATATTTTGATAAATATACAATAGTTAACTACTGTCTTAAAATTATATTTAATATGATGCGTTTATGGTGCTTATATTTGATATATAATAAAAAAATATTTGATTGTGTACAGACTCAAAGTAAAAAAATATTTTTAGTTCTAATTTATGACATTAGAAATTTATTTAAACACTGCTCCATGGTAATAATTTTTTCCTCAATTATACGATGTTTATGATACCTTAATATATTACAGTTTTGTATCATTCTGACGTTTTTTTCATTTAGGACAGAGCCGCCACAAGACGGTAATATTCCTCATATTTTACAAGAAACATGGCTATTAGCGCTGGGTCTGATATTATTTTCTGTCATCGTGATTGGATTATTCAGTATTTACTATATTAAGCGAAGAAATGGTATTCAGAGGAAAAAATCTAACGGTAAGCCACATAAATGCTATACTCAACTGACGCTGTACACATTAAAACAGCGATATTTTGAAATAATAAGTAGCTCGTCATTGAAATTTAAGCTACAGTTATATATGGGGTACTTTTACTGAAACACAGCCATGAACACTATTAAGAAAGAGCCATAATTCATGTATAAGTGTACAAATATGGCTTTTTCTTGTTCGAGTAACATGAGCTACTTAATACAGTTTTCTTCAGAATTAGAATTAAAAATATCAAGATAATGCTACACAGTAGCTGACGGTTATGAAGATATGTTAGTGAGAGTCGAAGGATGCAAGTTACACTTGCATCCTTCGGGTTATAAAAATAACAAGTTTCTGTATTGTATCGAAGCATATTGCTTCGATTCGATTCGATTGTTACAGTGAGTGGAGTTCTTTAAACGTTTGTTATAAACGAAGTAATTGAAACATTGAACTCAATTGTAGGTCAATCGATTGTTACGGCGCAACAGTGCTTATTGAATAAAGACACGATATGGTTACGAGACCGGCCCGTCTTTGCCTCTGCAAATGACCCCACTTTAGATGTAACCAGTTGTAACCAGAGTCTTTTGCATGGTGAGTAAATTACTTAAACACAATTGAAAAACCGCAGTGCTCAATGTTATTTATTGGATGTTTGTTTTTTTAAAAACACGTAAAATCTTTTCGAGATTATATCAGATAAAAAAATATTCAACAGTAGTTGTTGTCATTTGTTAATATTATGGACTTTTTGGAAATAGTCATTTTTACATTCTATAACTCCTAAATAAAACGAGTAATATTTATTTATTACCATAGATTTTTAACAGTATATTTTTATTAAAAGGTGGTCAATCGACAAGTATACTGAGTGTAGAACCAGAGTACAGTCTTCCTCAAAATTCAATTCAAGGATTAGATGCATCTAGCGTGGATAGAATACGACGTGGTCCGCCCGAGCCATATGCGTCCAGTGCTATTTACACGGAGCTCAATTTTAAGGTATGCCACGATAAGATTTATGAGAATTCCATTGTTGCTACAAGATTAGATTACAGATTTGCATAACTTAACGCTATCACACACCAAATAAGTTATGAAGTTATATCTCTAACAATGCATTTCAATTTTTATACAGGACAATAACGAAATGGACGTAAGGAATTGTTCAGAAAGACGATCCCATAACAATAGTATTGTAAGATCATGCAACGGAAGTATACAGTATTCTAACGGAGAGTGTTCCACGTGCTGTCACAGTACATCGAGTAGATCGACAAAAGATTACAGGGAGCCAAGACATGAAATGGTACATAATGAGATTAACGTTTTAGAAGACGACTGCGTATCTTGTCATACCAATAGATCAGGCTCCAGGAGTAGACAGGACAAAAGCAAAGTGTGTCCAGCGAATGATTTAGAATACGACTATCCGCAATGGCACTGGCTCGGAAGGGAGAACAGTTTCAAAATTCCCATGCAGACGAGCAGACATTCGAATGTAGCGAGGTCGGAGCAGGGCTGCCAAATAAATCTATGTGATATACTGCCGCCGCCGCCGTATGAGGTAAATTGAAGTTGTTTTTTTTTTACAAAAATCACAGGATGTCTGTATTTTTGGTAAACTGTGTATGCAGTTTACTGTTGTCTTGATTATTTGTTGTAACTATTTCATTGTTTACAGAGTCCAGAAAGTAAGAACAATTAAGGAATGAAATGATAAGAGACATAGAATTTTAGACAATTTAACAAAACAAAGCAATAAACATTTTAACTATAAGTTACTTAATAACTAACTTGTTTCACAGTTCTGTTAATAATGTCCAGTTTTAGAGTTAATAAAATTAATGTTGTAAGTAGATAACGTTATTCTTAAACTGGTCATGTAAAATGTAATCGTTGTAGTTGCAGTTCTAGTGCTTGTAACAGTAGGTACCGAATTTTCGAAACTTGTATCTCGTAACTTATTCCTATCAATATTCTAGTCACACTGTATAGGACTAGCTTTACATTTGATAAACACTATTTGGTGAAATACTCCAGAAATATATATAAATTTTTCTATAACATTGCATGAACTCAAGGTTGTTTCAAGTTCGACTGTAAATGTAATTTTAATACAGCCCTGCATTTCACTGCCATATACGTTTAGGATTACTAAATTTAGTTTCATAATCTTTGACTGTGATATTTATATAAATTTGTGTATTAGAATTAAACGTAATCCTAGCGTAAAGAACCTCATTTACACGAAGTGATTTTTCTTTTTAATATGTGAAAACACGTGAATACTTACTTCTGTAAATATTAATATATTATTATTACCTTTAGTCTCACTCTGAATTCAGTTGTGCAACAAAAAAAAAAATATTTTAGTCAGAAAAAATCTACTCGTGTGTATAGGTCTTAGTAAATAATAAGGAATCTTGTAAATGTTTCCTAAAAATTTTAAACACAAAGTACACATATTTCATGAACGATTTGTAATCATAATTAGAAATCGAAGTCTGTAATCGAAATATTTTCTGACACACCCGCGTGTTTATCCAAAACAAAAATATAAAGCATCTTTATGATAAACTTGTTTGTTTTATTTATGTATACTATTTTATTACCCGTCTATATCAATTTTTTTACGCTAGCAATTTTTTATGTTTAATTTAAAAAAGTTGTAAAAACAAAATAGAAAGAGGACCAAACATATGTTCATTTTACTCTTTAAATTGTTTGATATATATTGTATATAAGTAAACTACTGAATTTATTTAGATGGGATTTGACAGAAAGCCTTTGTTAAGAAATGTGATTGAGAAAGAGATACATAGACAGGGGGTTTTAAGGAGTAGTATGTGAAAGTTTTATCACTGATATCTATGTTAATTAAATATATACAAATAGTATACTCACGACGACTATAATCCCTAATGGAACAATCAGAAGCATTTTTAAACGTTGCTGTGTAGTATAAAGTAACATTTTATACTAATATGCTTGGCTCACATAAGTATTTAACAGGCGAGCCTAACGGCGTTACTCAGAAATACTTGTTTTTGATGTTTTTTATTACTGGAGAGTTGGTCAAAAACTTAAATAACATACTTTTTGTGAAAAGTATGAAAACTGAAGAAAGAGACTACAAAATTTTGTAAGTATACACTACAATAGAAAATTATGAACAAGGTTGTACTAATTGAATGTACTATTAAATATTATGTTTATTCGATATTATTGTTATACTCTATTAGAATTATATTGGTCATGTGGCCTCGGCATAGAATAGGCCACCCCATTCTTCCCGTGGATGTCGTAAGAGGCGACTAAGGTAGGGTGAGGGTCGGAAAGCAGCGTCTCTTTTTAAATATCTCCAAAGTCTAATTGCCAAATATGGCAACTACGGGCAAAACTCCCCCAGGAGGGAGGCTTACGTTCAGCAGTGGACAGTTAAAGGCTATATGATGATGATAATTAGGATTATATATTTAGAAATTTGTGCAAGTTGAAAATAAAGAAAATTCTTATCTACCTAGTTATTTTATTTAATTATTTAATATAATAAATCTAAAACAAATGAAAAAGATTGATAATAAATCTATGTAATATAGGTAAAAAAGTAAAATTAAAGGAATAAAAATACAAAGATCTTTGGTCGACAATTATACTAAATGCGCAGTTCTTAAGTTAGCACAAAAGACAGTACTTATAGTAACGGGATACCTTGTATTAAGTATTTTTATAACAAATCACATAATATATTTTTTAATTACATAAAATTAATTAAAAATAATATTAATATTTATACAATTATTATGATCAAACGTAACTGAAATTGTAACATATCTAATTTAAATCTGCCTTAATTTTATAAAGGCAAAATTTTCTGCCAATAAATTATTACTATTAGCAAATTTTCGCAGTTTGGGAAATGAAAATCTGACTTATTCTGGAGAAAGGTTACGGGTTAAGAGCATTTGGTAATAAATCGTGAAGCCCAATTTATTCCTGTCTTGCTTACGTATCGGCCACATTTTATACCTTTTCCGTATAGAATTAACGTCCCTTTATCAGGAGTTTTAAGAACAAAGGACCATTTGATTCAAATTACATTTGTACCGTTCGTGGAATTCTGTGCTAGGAACGCTAGACTTTAATTAGTAGACTATTATTTTACTATTTCAGAATTTACTATCTTTAATTTATTTTAACTTCTTGGAATGCACATTCCAAAGTCCTATTTAAAGAAAAAAAAACTGTTGAGAAAATATTATGAATTTATGACTTATATTTCAAAGAAGTTTATTGTTTTGATAAATAAAGTTTCATCATTACTTACATTTGGTGTTCGTTATTTTTTACGCTGAAAGAGAAAGGAGACAGAATATAAACAAGTATTTATAAGATATTTTTTATATTAGAATAAAAAAAATAGATTTCAAAAGTAAATTTAACACATAAAATACTTGCAAAATTTTGTTGTCTTTTTAGTTAAATGTGTTTTAAAAATATAAAATATGTGTTATTATTGATCATACTTTTAGTCATGACTTTAATATGATAATTATAAAATAATATAATAATTGATATAAGTAATTTAATTAGATAAAGTAGGAAGGAACAGCTGAAAATGTTAGGCGAATATTCATTAAGGTTGCATGATATGTAGGTTTCATTAATATGATTAAAGTGCAAGTAAACATAACGTAATGCAACAACACCTCGGAATATGGCACATCGCCAATTCATTGTCAGTATCATAACATTTTCCCACTTTAATTAAATAATAAATTTAAATTAAAGCAGAAGTTATATTTAAATTAAAGAATAAATTTATTTCTAAGTAAGATAGTGGAAAATGGCGAGATTCTTCAGTAGTAAAAAAAATACTGTTTAAGTATTGATTTGTTCGTAAAGCAAATAAAATAAGACCCATATTTATGAAAATAGATCTTCCGTCATCAAAACGAGATCAATTTGTGGAATATTTTAAATTTTAATAACATTATTAATAATAAAATAGAAACAAGACGATTAAATTCAATGACTTAATAAGAAGTAAGTTCTTATAGTTAAAAAAACAATAAAATAATTTAGAATTAATGAGTAACATACGTACGTAAAAATACAACGGAGATAAATATATCCTCGTTTTTGGAGATGTTTGATAATGCTGTTAGTTGCCTGGATATCCAATTTTATTTATAAGCACAATGTCTATTTATCTAACACAATTATCCCCAAATGTAAGCTTTCTCAGAGTGGCTCAATTTAATTGGGATTAGGAGATCGCATCGTAAATGATACCTATCCAATCTTCTCAGAACTAACTAGGTGTATTTATATATTTACCTTGTTGATTAATTGAAGCATCAGAATATACAGTAATCATTATCTTAATTAGAAGTATAAATAAACCTGTAAACAATTTATATTTGTACTAAGAATTTGAAATAATTTAAGGCGATCAGTAATAGATATAGGTACATACACGACAGGTATTTTGTAAGTTTATATATTAATATAATAGAACATTTTATTCTAGCAAAAAATAACTTTAATCATGACGATCATCACACATACACGAATGACGATATGAAAATGTAATTTTTTTGTTTCTCAATAACCAAAAAATTACATGTTCAATTATTATAAAATTTGTGTGTTACCTATTTGCAAAATGATTATGAAAATCATTCTGAATCGGCAAAGGAATTGCGTTATTTTGGAATTTGGAAGTTGCTGTTGTTGTTACTGTTTGAGATATTTTATCTCTACAAAATCGAAACATACCTACAAAAATTATAGTATCGAGCAGAGATCAAACTCGTAACTATCAAAAGGTGAGTCAGTGTTACACGACTGAGCTTGACAATGTTAAGCAATTTGCAAAACGCAAAATGTCTATCCACTACCTACACAATCTTGACGTATTCCTGAAAGCTGCTCCAGTTTCTCAACTCAAACACCTACAATTGAAAATATGGTCCAAATATGGTAATATGGTAAATATTTATGAGCTTCGTCCAAATATATTTAAATGAGATGTAGGACTGTAGGTAAGTTGTGTTGAAACCCAACAAGATGGATAATTTGCAAGTCGGCTTATTCTCGATCAACATCTTATGATAAATGCTTTTCTTATGTAAATGTAACCAGGAGCTGATAATATTGTTAGCATAAATTATACTTACAGATAAACTTTAGTTTTTAAAGTCATTTTTGCTTCATTACACATTACGGTAACGGTTCATATTTTCGAAGAAAATTTATTTCAATTTTTTTTATAAGATTATAGAATTAATACATTTTAATTATAATATCCGACCATCTGCTTATATAAAAGTTATAAAATTATAAAAATTCATAACTATTTCATAATAAAGTCAATGTTTATCAAATTTTAAATTTTAATATATAATATAAATTTCTTATGAAGCATAAGCTTGTTGTAAACAAAACCATTTATACATTTCAATGGACCTTCTCATAATTTGTATGTTATGAAATAAGAAATCGAATTTTATAAAACGGAATGAGTAAGAATGTCAGTTTTGTATTTAAAGCGTTAAAAAATGTACTCATAGCCCTGCTTTCACTATTTAAAAAAAGTCCAAATTACTTACAGACAAAAAAAAAACAGACGATTACTATATGAGAAAAACTGATAAAATATTAAACATTAAGTTACGAGAATACATGAAAACATACATGACATTTTAAGACCTCGTACTAAATCAGCAACCATTAGCCATTGTATTTAATTCTACATTATAAACAAATGTTCCATGTCTTTTATATGAAATGTACTCAATATTAGTTATTAGCTATGTCTTTTATTTATTTTATGGTCATAACACGGTCATTATTAATGCGGATGGCTATGTTGTATCATACACAGCACATATTTCGGATTTAACACAAAAATTATGGGCACTTTATTATTTCGATATTCTAGCGTGGGGAGAGTTGACTAATGATAAACGATAAAATAACAAATATTATGTCATCTTCTGAAGTATTTAAATTCAATTAAAACGTATTTCTTATTGGAAATGTTTGTTATGTATTTTTACTTTAAGAAAAGTTTGCATTATTCTAATTGTATCCCTAAATTCTCTTCGCATTATTTGGATATACATGTATCGTTATTCGTTATCAGGATCAAGTCTATTGGTGTGTCTTATTTCATACAAATTTGTTTAAATGTATAAGCGTTATTAAGTAAAAAAAAAGGATTGGATTTAAGACTATGGTATAGGTAAAATCGATTAGATTACAAAAAGAATGATCAAAATCGTCTTAACAAAACAGCGTAACATCTTAAAGGTTAGCAGATAAAAAATGTCTATATCATTAAGTATGTTTTATATATTACATTTTATGCATCAATGAAGTTAAAGTAAATAAAAACTAAAATATAAAAAATACAGTCATTGAGAATTTCCCGGGATTGAGAATCTCTTTCCTTTTTAAAATCAAAAATTGTGTTCACACGCTGAAGATATATCGCAATACCTCAATCGAACTTCAGTTAAAATTATAGCTAGGACCTCCACCATGTTATTTACAAATGGACCTACTTGCATTCCCTTCATACTGC